GAAGATGACAGGAGAATAACATTAAAATTTATTTTAGGTATGTAGATTATGAGGATGGGAAGTGGATGAAACTGGGCCATTATCTTTTATAGTGGCAGTATTTGGGTCCAGAGATTTCTTATCAAGTAATTAGATATGGAGTCATAAATACAATCATTTATTTGTTTCCCTGTTAGTAAAGTGAACTATTTTAGAATGAATAAGAGTGAAAATATACATGCCTTAAAGGTTCATATAGACATTATTCTCTCAGATATCACATTTACATGATTTAACCTTTATTGTAGGGGATTTAAACCCCTGTATTAAGGAGCTGCCATCTGGACTTCATCTCCTGGGTTAATAGTTTGTGTTATGGTAGTGTAACACAGCCACCTGGGTTGTGTATTGCCTACTACATAGCTAGTGTATGCATAAGCCACAGCACAGCCAGCTGAACTGTGCATAAGCTGTAACCAATGGATTGTAAAGTTTAAAAGTTGTTTTAAACGGAAGTTACAGAATGATGATTGTATTTCCAGAAATATGTCTGTAGTTTTATAAGAAAAGTGTTTCAGAGGATTCAGTTAATCTTCAAAATTTCTAATTCCAGTAATTTTTATTTTTCAGTTGTGGATGCTTGCAAGCGATGCTGTCGTATTCTGAATGACACATGTTTCCCTGTTGTTCCTCATGACATTCTTCCTGATGGAACACCCTGCATTCAGGGCTTCTGCAATAAGGTACTGCTTCAGGAAACAATACTGTGGTGTTGTGGTTAACATACCCACTTCATATTTATTTGAGATATTCACTGTGTAAACATTACGCTGTTGCAGGGAATGTGTGAGAAGACAATTCAGGATGTGGTGGAGAGGTTCTGGGACATTATAGAAGACATCAATATTAACAAAGTTCTGGTATTTCTGAAAGACAATATTGTTGGTACAGTGATCCTTGTGACAGCTGTCATTTGGATTCCAGCAAGCTGTGTAGTGAGTTATGTCGACCGAAAGAATAGAAATGAACAAGAAGCAAGTGCCAAATGGAAGGACAGCAATGAATTCTACAGAGCTGATGATAGGCGTGTGATCAACATAAATGTTCCACAGCAAAGACCTCCCACTGCAGTGCACCTCCATACAACAGCACCAATGTGATATGGAAACTTAAAGGCCCCTTCAAATCTATATATTGTTTTGAAAACCAAGAGAGTCTTCTATTTCAGCATTTTAAAACTTCATTTCTAGCACAATGCCTTATAAATTAAGTCAAAATATTGCTCTTGTTGGTTTGAAAAGTGTCCTTCATCCCTCTTATGCTCTAAAGTTATACCAAAGTATGAGAATGTAATATTAAATACCTGAGGTTGTAGATTTTCCGTTGGTTAACACACCTGCTTCATGTTAAGGAGGTCACTTTTTCAAAACTTGGCTTGAAAACTGACTCCTGACAGGCTTTCATGATATTCCTGTTCTTTCAGGCATGTACAGGGATAATACCTTAAATTAGTCCATGACCATTTGTTTCCATATCCTGTACAGTTCATTAACATTATTTGTCCTATCACCCATTGCCATATAGTCTGAGCTGCTGACACCACTAATAAATACATACATCATCTTTTTTATGGAAAAACACATTCAAAACAAGTGTTATCATTTACTTATAAGCAGTGTCTACTTGTACACTTTATAAAACCAGTATTAGGCATTCTGGCAACACACCATTTATATTGCTATAATAAGAACAAAATCTAATTGCTAATAATATTTTTAAGTGTGCTGGAGTTATTGAACCAAAGGACTGGTATTCAGCATGTAGAACAATGATAATTTAAAAAATTATGTGTAAATCCATTTGCTGAATAGACTTTCAGGTTGTTACATATATACAGAGGAATTTTAATAGGTCTCTGCTGGTTAAAGCAGAATGTACAACTTTCATCCAAACTGTGACTTATTTCTAGTAACATCTTACTACATCACAGTTCAAGTGTTGGAAAACAAAGTCTGGCTTCATATCATTGGTGCTAATGAAACTAAAAGTGCACAAGTGTTTCCTAAACATCAGATAGGTCAAAGAAGTATGTATCTTTCCAATCCTAATTATTTGAACACAATGTTAGAATTTATCCAAAGGCCTTGCAGTAAACTATGTACTGTGATCCATCTGGATAGCCAGTTCTGGTTGGATTGGAATGTGTGTTTCAGATGTGGTTTCTTTCTTAACTGTGACCTAGAATTTCTAAGTATAGTTTTCCATCTTTAATGCACTAATGTGGAGGTTGGAAGGAACATGCAAGGTTAGGTTTTTGACATCTTCCAGCTACTGGAAATCTATGGTTGTTGAAATTAGTAGAAAGTACAAGCATTGCTAGGATCTTTATTCATATGAGAAGCATTAATAGGAATGGAGGCCTTACAAGGATTCAGAACATTTTCACTGCTGACAACCATTTTCAGAGTGTGTCAAAAGATATTTTTCTACTTGTTAAAGTTCATATACAAAGTTTCATTTACCAACATAAGTGATGAAATAATTTATCGTCACTTTCAAAAGAAATTTAAAAAATTTGAACTTTTATAACATCTCAGAAGTAACCTGTAACTTTATCAATCTGTTTTCAAACAAACTAGATGTGCTTATAATCTATACAGTGGTTTTGAAACACTTGTCTCAAACACAATACCCATATTATGAAAAATATTTATGCAGATACATTAGTTCTATATTGTATGCTGCATCTCTCACTATAGTGAGGTGACACAATAACAAACAGCAATCAAGTCCTGACTTGGCCTGTGATTTATTCCTGTAAGGATGGGCAGTTCATTTTCAAAACCAAGAAATATGGGTAAATGCTAAGCAACAGTAATCAATGTTTGGAAACACAACTGAAAACATGCTACAAGCAGTAGTGGCATCCATAGCAGTTTGATTCAGAACGTATACTGAATGTACAGAGTGAATGTGAATTTAGAAGTTAGTGGCATGAAACATTATTGAATACTTTGCCACTGCGTTTGTTTCATGAATTATGTAAAGAATCAAATAATTTACAAGCATTTGATAAAAGGACTGACTTTTACTATTGTTTCGCTATTCAGTTTCCTGCATATCTATATCTTCCAGGTTTAGGTCATCCAGCATTTCATCCAGAGTAATGTGTGGAATAGTTTCATCTCCCAAGTCATCAACATCTACTGCTGTTTGAAACTTGCTTTTATCGTGGAAGATGTTCACGTTCTGCCGATATGCTGGATCTTCCTCCAAATCATCCAGAAATTCAAGGTACTCACTAAAAAAATAACAATTATAATAACTACTTTTTGGGATTTAGTGTAGGACCCTGTGTCTTGTGATATTGTTGACCCAACGGTAAAAAGTTATGGATTTGCAAAAAAGTAATTCCTTTGGGGGGGGGGCAATTTTTGTTGTCAAAACATAGTTATTCTGTGGTGGTAGTTACTACTATCAGCAAGAACATCCTATTACTGATAAGTACAAAATTCTACAGAACTATTTTTTATGTTTCAATAAAAGTGTATCTCCTGAAAAACTATTTTGTGGATTCATAACTTTACCTTGGATCAACAGTGTGTGAGAAAAGGAGTTGAAGTTAACAGACTAAGCACAATAAATGTGTTCAGAAAGATTACTATTCCATAGCTTATCCACTATGCCATTTTCATGTGTGGTTATGCTGTGTTAGAATTCATTTAGCATTCAATGAAATACAACTCTAAGAAGGCTGATTCATGTTTGAGTATTAAGGAACATAATATTAAAATGTATCTTTTAGAAACATGTAAGAATATGAACTGGACTGAAATGGCTTCAGTGTTACATCCAGAGATGAGCTTCAGTGTTGGTAATGTTGAAACAAGGGAAGTCATACAGGTATAAGAAGAAAAAACAAAACAAATACATGCCTGCTAATGCAAAGGGACAGTGCACTTACTTTGTAGCTGTGTTGAGGTTTGTTTTCTCTTCAGCAAGATGCTTCAGTTTCCAATTACGGAATCGCCTTCTAGCTCCTTTATCACCATAGTGCTTTTTTACAAGAATGACATCTGGTACTTTAGTTGCATCTAGTTTTTCAAAGTTGGGATCATTAATGTTGCTGTCTCCCAAAGCATACCTTGAGAGATAATAAGAAATATTAAAATACCAAAAGTTTTATTAATCAGAGATCTAATTCCTTTAATGACAAATGTCTCCACATACTCTCTTCTTCACACTTTTTTCATCTTTAACAGTTTCTCATCTTACTGCAAATATATATATATAAAACTTGCATTATTTGTCCATTGATGGATACAAAAACACTACTCTTTTAATTTTTTGTGATGGATACAGCACTTTTCCTAGTGTCCCACTTTGTTCCATTTACGACTTGCCCAAATTTAAATATGCCATGTTATGATACTGACTGAAACGTACCCAAGAGCAGAGTCTCCAGGCTTGAGGATGTGTCCTAAATGGGTTCGTGAATGGATAGTGTTCTCAGACAAACCCAATTCTGATGCCTTTACCACCCATACATCAGCCAGTATATGCTGCAAAATAGGTCATACGGTTACTTCAATATATTCCACATGAACATGCATTTGTTCATGTATTTTGTGCATATCTATAAAAGAAATACCTTGTTGGAAACAGCTCCTTGTCCTGGGAATGTTTTTCGGTTCTTATTCAGAATTAGTTCTATATCCATAACAATGTACTCTGTGAGCTGTTTTGGATTGCATATGCTGTTAAATGGATAACGCCAGAAGATGGTACTATTCACTTCTGCAACTGTAACATCCATTTGAACCATTTAATGAATGCAGTACTCATTAATGTGTAATTTATTTGTGTTTTGCCTCCTTAATTTATAAGGAGAAATAGGCTTATGGTAACAGCATGTCCATGTGTTTGTCCCCTCACAACTTCTGAAGAAACTGGCAGATTTTTATAAAACTAGAGGATTATTGTTTTCTGAGTTATGAAGTTGATTAGCCTTGTAGGTGGTTACAAACATTTTGAAGGAACATACTGTCTCCATCGCATACCCGAAGAGAAGGCTATATGTTCCTCTGAAACACAGCAACCTACAAGGCTTCATGGTATTATAACCCAGAAGACCACATTTCTCACTTTCACCACCATGAAAACATCAAATCTCATTTCACAAAACATGGCACACATCATGCTAGTAGAGGTCACCCCTGCTTTGTACTTTTATTTCCTTTGAACAGTAATCATGATGTGGAGGCCTGTGCAAACTTGTGAGGAGGGAATAAAACTAATATTATTGAATGGGGGTCCCATGAATTTTATCTGAATATAGATAGATTTTCTATAAAACATGCAATTCTTGTTAAGGCAACTTTTCTTGTTGTCTTTTTGGTTGTAATAATGTAATTTATACTTTCACTGACATCTGCATTATTAGAACTCTTACTCTGTGCTGTAGTTGGGTCTATAAGGTGAACACAGTTTGTCACCCTATGCACAATACATAAGGGACTGATTCCTCCAAGCTGATGTGTAAGTTTGTGTGGCAAACAGATCACACTGTCCTTTGACACGGGAACAATCTCCACACTGAAACAGTGCATCTATTAGTTGCAGAAATTACACAAACTGCTGTAGTTGTGAATTACAATGTACATGTCTCTGAAACATTTACTATTTGATAACAATATTTTCCATCACAAGTGATGATTCAGCTATTCAGTAACACAACTAACATGCCTTACCTGTAAGTGAATTTATAATTATACACATTACTGTGGATATCATGAGATATCAGCTTCTTGGAGTGCTGGAATCGACAGGGCAACACAGAAACCAGGAAATCCACCATTTTTCTGGCATAAGCTTCTGTTGGATAGAAGAAATCTAGACCCTCTATATGCAAAGAGACAGGAGAAAAGAGTAATACCACTGATAAGAAAATAACCAGAGTTCATCATCTTCATGTATTAATCACATTATACTATTTGATCTCCATTGTGTTCATAAATGGCCTTTCTGTCTAGCAAATGTTCTTTTCCAATCCTCCATAAACAATGAAATACTGGAAGACCTATAAAAATATGGAGTCACCAAAGCAGATTTTAATGAGGATGTAACAGGCCAGTGGGACTAATTCTTGAAGTTGAAATTTAACCTTGTCTTTGCATAAGATGGATATAACACACAATAGTCCTAGTCTAACTTTGAATTTTTATGTGAAATGAGAGTCAAGTAAGATACAAAATCAAATTATACTTCATTAATTCTGGAGCCCTGTGTAAGCTACTTGCCATGGATAGGTTTGATTCCAAGTGTGTGTTCATGAGCCTTATGCTTCAAAATCATCTGTTCCAAGTAATAGAATGTTTTCTTATTCTCTGCTTTCTGCCTGACTTGAACCTGAAAAGAATGGAAACCAAGAATCTAGTCATTCATATAGCAAAATGTAGGAAGATATAGTTTAGAAAATAGGAACAAACTCAATGTTCTCCCCAAAACTTAATATAAATGACATAATAGAGTATTATGTATATAAAGTTGTAGATAGCTATTTGGAATGAGTAAAAAATTATCTGAACTTCAAGCATTAAAATACTACTTACAAGAGCACGCCAGTAATCCTGTGCTTCTGAGCGATGACAGTCATCACACATTTGGTGATTAACTGTGTATTCAACAACAAACACTTGCTGAAGAATTGCACCACCTAACACTTCTGCATGGACTGTCAGTTTAACCTAATCACATGAAATAATACTGTAAGCAAAATACAATCAGAAACATTTGGTGTTTTCATTTTAATTAATACTGATTTATATAAAGAGATTATAAAACTCAAAATGGGATATGGTATGGATAATTAAAAATGAAAGAGGAACTTACAGTAAGGTTGGTGGCCAAGAATTGTTAGTAAAGGGCTTCTATGATGGTATGAAACAATAGCCAACAGCTAATTTAAATAGTTCTTTAAATTTGAAAGGCTACATATGAGATTGGAAGTGTTCATGACAGTGAGATGTTGATGCTGGTCTTTTGAAAGGTTAAGTCTCAAACAACAATAGCAACTTTTGGAAGCATTCCAGTGAGAATGTGAAATAGGTATAACAGCTTATTCGGTGATGACTCCAGAAAAAGCAATGGAAGTAACTACTGTGGAACACATGAGAAGAATTTTGTCCAGTAAGATAAAGTGGTTAAAATATGAAGGAAAATATCAAATGTGGTTCCACAAAGCCAGCAGATTTTATATACTTGAAAGGAAAAGGTGCACCTTAGTATGACCACATAACTATGTATACCCTGCTTGCAGTCTCAAGACAGACTAAAATACAAGCAGCGATAGAGGACAGTATCCAAACCTTAACATAAGATTTGAAGTCAACAGAAGTACATACGGCAGATGGCCAGATCATCAGTATAAAAGAATGGGATCAAAGTCCAGTAGCAAAAGAAACAGGTCTGAAGGGTATGGAAGTAAAACAGTCAAACAAACTGACTTATGTTCTGCAACATCCACTTCAAAGCATCAGAAGAAAAGGTCCTATGGAGCTCCACTGTCTCTGAGGAAACCACTGCTCATAATAATACAACTCAGCATTAGAATCAATCATAACAGCTTGTTAAAAGGCAGAGCAGAGTTTCACAAATACTAAAAGTAACAGATCTACAGGAAGCATCAGACAGGGCCCCTAGGATCCTACTAGTAATGGCAAAGGCAATTTTGACAGCATTACAAACAGTCGAGGCAACCATCATGGTCAGTTACTTTAATATGCAACAGCTTTTTCTTATTAAGGCACAGGCATTAAAAGGAATAAAATGAATGGCCTGAAATTGTAATATATGAAAGAACATACCTTTATCCTTTTAGAATGTGGTTCAGTCCATACAAAACCTGCATCAATCAGTTTTACTCTGTGAAGACCTTTCAGCTTCTTCAAACAGAGGGACAGAAGCTCTCGTGATTCTAGGGCACATGGAACCCATTCAGATGGTGGCTGGAGATACCTAACATTAATTTAAAAAATGTAATTTGTTTACAGTGATATCAATACATATTTTGTAAGTACTGTGAGATTTTCTATGATATAATCAGATAAGTATCACAGATTTCAATGGAGATGCTATATATGAACAGGATGTGAAAAGAGAACTTGTAAGAGCATGAGGAAGAGTACACTGCACAAAAGACTGCATAAAGTTGACATGTTTTTGAGTGCTTCCAAACAATATGCATTCTAGATATCCAAAAGGAAGCCAGAATGACAACAGGATGTATGTCATAACAATTTAAATATAATTCAAAATGAAAGATTTGACAAAGGTTTAATGCAAAATGTTATGCTAGATCCATACATATGCAGGTGTCATATGGGTAAATGAACTACAAAAAGTTATCTTCATATTAAGAGCAGTATATAATTATAAACATTACCTTTCGCATCCTTTACAGAAATGCAATGTTGCCTGTTTTGGGATCCCTTCAGTAATGTCAATGTGTGACCTCAAACAAGCCACACACATATTTGCTGGATTTGGTTCTATAGAAGTACCACATTGGCAACATAATCTGAAAATACAGATGAATTGTTCATACCATTATGAAGACATTACTAACTGTTCATACTTTTCAATATATTTTTTTTTACAAAGATGCATTTATTAAGACATTAGGACCAGTCACATTCATCTCTTACTTGTTGGGTATACAGTGCCTGAGCACTGCGGGTCCCAACTTTACCTTGGCTTTGATCTATAGACAGTCAGTAGGACTCTTTGGATGTGGGATCAGCCAGTCGCAAGGCCTCTACCTATACACAGGACAGCACAACACAGAAAAACGAGGACCATGGCTTGAGTGGGATTCGAACCCACAAGGCCTGCGCACTGCCAATGTGACCCCTCATCTCTTACCTAACCTTTTTTAACAATTCACATTTCATAGGGGCCTAGTGGTCTCGAAGTTCGACTATATACTCCCATTCAGACGGTTTTGGGTTCAATCCTCTTATCGGATCTGTGCGCATATTTTTGAATAGGCTGCGACCTCTTCCCCTCGTATCCTTACCAACTTTTAATTAATTTATATCCCTAATTTACATAGCTACGTGAACTAAACTGAATAAACATGCACACGTGTTCTTACATTTTTGCTTTCTCTTCTCCATCAATTTCTTGGCCAGTAATATATTCCATGTTTGCTCTTAAATTTCCCGAATCTTGATATACACCGCCGCTCTGAAAATTATAGAATTTGTAGGATTAATTTCCTTGCAATACGAAATAGTTACTCCTTTTTATTGTTTCAGGTCAGTCGTAATCGTTACGAGTGTAGACATGCTGTACTGGAAGTAAACGGCGTAGCGAAATGGAGGACAAACATTAAAGTGAATTATGCATGACATCATCTATGATTATAATGACCAGTTTTAATTAACACAGTATCGAATGTTTGTCCGTGTAAACGATAATAAATATGATGTAATGGTTCCTGTAACTAATATGTGTGGAAATCAGTGATAAATGGTTATAGAGCAGAAGGGATAAGTAGTATGTTGGATACCCTGGTATTATTTGTGGGCTTCATGATTTCGTGCTCTGAATTTGTGTTGTGATAGTGGGGATGTGGTTTGGTTGGAGTGAGATGGGGAACGATTGGTAATCCGAGAGGAATTGTTAGAGGTTGGGATACATTACACATGTTAGATAACTTTGCTATTTGTTGACAGTAATTCATTTTATAGTTCCTCACCTCGAGTAAACACAGTAGATCAGTGGATGCCAACATGGGTAGGCACTTGGACTCTTCTCACACTTCAGGTAGTGCTAGTAGATATAAAGATAAAGATGGAAAATCTCGCAGTAGTAAGAGTGATAAAGGGACACAAAATAGAGGATTTGGAGTGAAAGATAATCAGAATGCTAATGGCAAATTGGACCGTTGGCCACATGACAAGTTTTCAGATGGTGAGCAGCAAAGTTCTGGAGGACAAAGTTACCATAATTACAGAGATAGGCATTGGCATGTACAAGAAGATGACTTCATGGATCAACGCAGGCAAGAACGGGAGAGAATTGGGTTGATAGGAGTCATGCAAGTATGGGGAAAGTCTCCACCGTGTTCTGAAGAGTTAGTATTGACAATGGCATTTATTTTTACAGCTTGTAATTAAGATGTGCATAATGTTACCAACCCATTGCATGTTACCTGTATAATATAAAGCATGTACTTGTTTTCAGTGAGTAGTTTGTACTGGCAGTTATCCTCTTTTTAGACATGTCTATAACTGCAAGTTGCAAGAATGTACATATTGGATCACTTTTGTTAGTCTGTCTGCATTTAATAACTTGAGAATGGCTGAAGGGATTGTCATGGCTTCATTCACAAAAGCCAGACACTTGTGAATTGTTGTTCATGCATTACCTAATTTATTTCATCAAGATGTACAATATAAAATAATGGAAATCCTGTGCCTATTTTCAGCATGATTCCATATGCTGTAGGTTTTAATTTACATCAACTTTTATTTATGGAAAAATTTGTGGAATATTAATCACATGTATGCAGAACATACTGTAATTGCACTTAAAATTATTTGTTGTCAGGACTTTCTCCATCATCTGTTTTTAAAATTTACGACGTTTCAGAGGCTGGATATGTCTCCGTCTTAAGGTGAGAGGTACCTATTCTACTCTACAGAGTAATGTCATGAATTTTAAAACAGACGATGGAGAAAGTCCTGACAACAAATAATTTTAAGTGTAAACTACGGTCATCAAAACCCTTTAGAATTGAATACTGTAATTGGTTGAGTACTAATGGGCATGTTCAAGTAAACCGCATATGAGTGATGTAGCATCATCACCATGATTGACAGTGCTGAACAGGGCCATATCTTTTCACCACCTATATCACTCACTGTTGATATAATTACAAACTTACCTAAGGTAACTTCTAGTTGTGGTTTGGAATCAGTATGATTGCATTTACAGTTAGATTTATGATTATAATAATGAGTAATGTGTTTGTGTAATTTTGAATAATTTTAGAAAGGAGTTAATACTGTATTGAACAAGATGTTGCTTTTAGTTCTGATGAGGTGGGTCCAACAACAGCAGAACATACAAAGAAAAGAGATGGTGACACAGACATGTCTGAACCAAAGAGGAAGAAAAGAAAGTTAAAGTCCAGTAAAAAGAAAAAAGTAAGTCTTTTATGCAGCCAAGATTTTTAAGTAGTCAGGAGTTGTTGAGGCTTGACTAGTAATTAATGAATCTGCTCTTCCTTGTGATTTGAGATTGTACTGGAGCATCATGTTTTGAACATTAACTTTGTGTGTGTGTGTGTACGCGTGCGTGCATATCTTTCTGGTGTCAGCTTTGTTACTGGCATAGTTTACATTCAGATAAAATAAAAATTCAGAACATACAGCTGGAGGCATCTTTATCTTCATTCTTCCTAATATATATTATACTTATACATCACATTTCAAGCTTATATGATATCTACTGACATCACAGGACTAGAAAAATGTGCTGAGCATGTGTAGAGGAATCTGATACAATGTAGAATATAAATAGCAGTAACATAATGTCTGAAATGTGCTTTCAGAAATAATATGTGATGGAGGGCACACTACTATGAATATTACTAACTAGTAGTTATATTAATTTCTCTCTCTTAGGCTTCTTATAAATACATGTAAGTAACAATGGTGATTATTTCTCATCATAATTATTTTGCTGTAATACTGTAGTTCCAAAAAATCTGTAAATAGCTATTATAACTATGTATTTATATTTGTACTGGAAACAGGTATTGTATTTGTGCTACAACCTGTTCTGCATCCTTGGCTTAGGCCTATGAAGGATCTATGGAATGTAAATAAATTCTGTTCGATTCTATTCTTGTCTTTTTTCAGTGTTTCACAAGTTTTATGTCACTCTAGTATATGTATTTCTTGTTTAATTCTTAAAGGTGATTAATAAAGTTTAAATTTATCTCTCTTGCACAGTGCAATTGCTTTCTGTTCCTCTGCACTGTGCATTATATTTTATGCTTAAACGTAAGCCTTCAAGTTAGTACTCTGTGCCTGAGATCCAAAATCTCAGGATGTAAATGGTAATTTTCATCTAAGGTTGTCATCCCTGGGTATACATCATTAGAATGGTGCAGTATTGCATGGGAACAGGAATGACTATTGTCTTGATAAACATCTTACCAACCTCATGAACATACAGGAGTGGTAGCAGCAGCATAATGTGAAGTGACTGGTGGAGCCAAGAAAATTTGCTGGTACATAATACTTGATGTGTACAATTTATACAACAAAATTTTAAGCCTTTGTGTTATGAAATCTTTAATATAAGTATAAAGGAAATATGACATTTAAATTTGTTTCAGAAGAGTTCACATAAGAGGAGTAGAAAGAACAAGAAGTCAAAGAAGAGGAAGAAAATGGTGTCAAGTAGTTCTTCCAGCTCTTCAGAAGAAGCAGAACTGTGGGTTGAGAACAACAGTAAGTTTACCCTAACAATCCCACTGTCATGAACTGTAAATTTACATTTTTGTTAAGTTTCATTTTGATATATTTAAGTATCTTGGCTGCCCTTGTGTCTTCCTGTCAAAATAAAAAAAATTTCCTTGGGTTGTCTCTGCGATTGCAGTATTTGTGTGTTTATCTGTCTTTTGTACAAGACTGTTGTATAAGTTGTTTTGACACCCCTCATCCTAATTTTTTAAATGTAAAAAGGCAATAATATTCCCCAAGTTGTCTCTCTAAATGGATCATTTATTGTTGTTACAGTTTTTCTTTGCAACCTATTGTTTTTGAGAAATGGTGGAATGGACCATTTGATGTTATGGATTATCTGCATATTTTTGTTACCACTGTAACAATTATTATATTTGTAAATTTAGATCTGTGAATGCATGTAAATGGAATGTGCATATTTTCTCCACTCAAGATTTCTCGTGATGAGGTTCCTTATTATATGTTGTTTAGAATAGAAGTAGTGACTCATACAGACAGGAAAGTGTTACATAGAAAATACTGTGTTCATCAAAATAACTTTCTAAAGATCAAAACAATGCCCACTTGAAAATTGTCATATGAGTGTTGAAACATTGGTTTTTCTTTAGAAGTTATTTCTTGACTGTTTGTTTCCAGAAGCTGAAGGTTCTGGATCTGAAGATGAAGATGGTGTAGTAGGACCATTGCAGAAGCAGCATGTGACACTGTCTACCAAAGACTATGGAAAGGCTCTCCTTCCTGGAGAAGGAGCTGCCATGGCAGCATATGTGGCAGAGGGAAAACGTATTCCACGAAGAGGAGAGATAGGACTTACATCAGAACAGATTGCGTCTTTTGAAGCTGTTGGTTATGTCATGAGTGGAAGCAGGTATGGACTACATCCATAGTAGGCTGTAATTTTAATTTTATCTCATGTGTCCTGTGATTAAGTCATGCACATAAGTTACCTCAATTTGCATAGTATTCTAGTAAAGCTTAGTGTGGTTGTTAAAGTGTTCTGATGATAGTACAGTTAGTATTACTGGATTTATGGACTTAGTCCATCATATATGATTCTTAAAAGAACATAACATTTCAGAAATTAGATCAGTTCTCAGGTGAAAAGATTGGAAGTGCCTACTCAATTCATTTTGTTACAGTCTTCCACAAGTTTTTATAAGAAATTGCATATTCACGTTACAGTTAGAAAAAGGCAATATCATACCTTTTGTAATTAGAATTCATAATAAACACACAGGTTCAGCATTGATAGTTTCACCAAACATGTTTAATGTTTTGTTCTCATGCCTGGAATCTTATAGGGCAAGTACACGTTTAGGTTCATGTGTATCCCCCCCCCCATCCTTTTGTGATGTGCTTTCATGTGTCTTTAACCAAGTCAGTTGAGCCACAGGTAGAAAGGTTGTGGAACACTGATGTATTATTCCTAACTTGTTAGTTAGCCATGTAAAGCATATATGCCACTAAGATCAAGTTTTCAATTCAATTCAATTCATTTATTAAAGTGCTTGACAACAGTCAAAAAGGCCAATAACAGTGGGAAATAATATGGACATCTGAATATAGTAGGGATTCTGCCAACTTCTCACATTGCTTACCAGCACTGCCCCCCCCCCCCCCC